GCCAATTTCAGTTACTACTGGAAACATTTCCAATTGGCAGTCAAGCGTTACCGACAAATGGCTAAACTTTGTCGATTACTTGGAAGAAAGTGTCCTCTATATGTGTGATTGAGGCCGACGAATAGAAACCCAGTAAAGCCTACCGAGGGTGTCAAAGGTATTTATGGAAAAGCTGCTCAGCGGACTCACTCTGATCTCCTTGAAGAAGATTACGCCACAGAGTGTGGTAATCAGAGCTGGCACAGTGGTTACGATCGGGAAGGTGATGGGTTCGCCTAGGGACGTGTTTGATATAGACCAGGCCGTCTCCGCGATTGCCCAGAGAATTCCACTGCCAAGGGCCGGCAGAATGGCACTGGGGGCGGGGATCCAGGGTTTGTTGCGTTTGATACAGGCGTAGATGACGAATATGACGGTGGAGGCGAGCCAGACCCCAGCGCAAACAGGGAACACATAGTCAAGTCCTAAAAATTCCAAGAGATGGGAGGAATTTGTGCAACTGTCCCAAAAAGCGCAGGCGCCAAACTTTTAGCAGAATACTTTTACTCTGCTTTCGCATGAATACAAATACTCATACGCACAATGATCTTACCGACAAAGACAAGGGAGACTGGAATGGCCATTTCTGGCTTATTAGCCGTCGTCAGCCAGCCATACCCAAGCCCGAAGTGTGGAACACCCGAGCCTCGAACTCCCGACCTGTTGGTTTAGAAGTCAACGCCTCTACTCACCGGGCCACGAGCCCGTTGCCCTGTCGGTTTTCGATCGGGAATATACAATGTTAGTGGGCGCGCACCGATCGTTCATACGGAACTCACTCGTACTCATATCGCGCTCCAGTGCTGTTTGGCATGAAACGTAACCTCGGGTTGTTTCACACAGGGCAGAATCTTAGCTGAGAAAAAACCTCGGGGAGTTCGACAATCTCCTTGCTGTCTTAAAGTCCGTTTGCCCTTATGGGTCCAAAATTTCTCGCACTGCGATATCGCAAACGTCTAGGAAATGGACTTCCTTGCACAAATAAGATGTTGGTATGATACCTGAACACTTAATAGGACTGGTGAGAACATAGTTAAAAGTACTGCTTGTCTCAGTTATGCTAAGAGTCGCATTCAAAACTGAACGTGACGGGCTTATTAGAGGAGACTTTTTATTGACTAGCCTCTATCCCATGCCCGACCATGAAGGTTTGACATTTCACTTACCCATTGGTTTGGGAAGTGTGTCTACCGGATGTGTTACGGGGCGTACTTGTAGAGCGCTTGCAGGCAGCCACGCACTGACCAGTATGCCGGAGGATGGTTGGGATGGCCATTCCCGGTTTTATAGGAATCGTCAGTCGAGTTTATTTGAGCTGAAATTAGATCTCGCGTACTTCCTCTACTCAAGAGTTTTATATATTCGAAGAGGGTTGCCGCAATCGCAGTCATTCCTCCGATAAGAAATAAAGCTTCCATAGACCTTTAGCCAGTAGGTATTCACAGTTGCGAATACCATGACGACGGATTATGCCCCCCTCCCGCCGACTTTCTCCAAGCCTACTATCATACTAAGAGTATCCATGACTGAACCGTATGTCCACCTGTAGTTCCCGTCGCGCTTGAATTCAGGTCGTCACAGCTGGTTATCTCAGTGTGTAGGGCCTAGAATTTATATTGAAATAACTCACGAAAGGTGGCAGACTTAGGATCGACTATTCCGTCGCGGAGTCCTATTAGGAGAGCAGGCGTTTTCAGGACCAACAATGTGAGTGACGCCATTCCGACTAAGGGCTGAAAGTCGGGCAGACAATGGGCGTGTTGTCTGTGTTTCGAGAGTTAATGCCGTCCGGAAAACTACTATCAGCTCACCAGGAGATGTAAGTAGACATTTTTGAGACATATTTTTTTAGCCCCGTACCCCGTTACGGACAAGCAGTGTTTATTTCCTATGGTGACTTTAAAACCCTGACTGCGGACATGCAAAGAGAACACTATTCGAATCAGGTTGAGTCGCCTGTAACATTTATAGACAACCCCTCGTCAGCAAGAGACCTCAAACGTAATTTCACTGAAGTGTCTTGTACGGAAGGGACAAAGACGACTTGTGCGAGATTTTGTCTATTAAAAGGAAGATGCTCAGTGATGGTCGCACTCTCCTCCACCCAGTGACCCGTTTTCGCGTGTAAGTTAAATCGACCTTTAATATTGACCCAACTGTGAAAAACTCGGTGCCTCGGTGGGATTTAAACCCACGCAGTAAGGGGAAGGCTTTAGTACAGCCAACACTCTAACCACTTGAGCTACGAGGCCCCGCCGGACGACGTGAGTTTAATAACATTTGGGTCAAGTCACCCGTCCAAACTACTGCAATGTCTGGAATCCACCAAATCTGATACAGTAAGTTGACTGCCCAAACAGGATTTCCTAAGTAAATCACCTAGGATCCACCAGATGACTACTAGGCTCACGTAATTCATGGATGTTTTGTCAGATTTTGAATGATTCATATTGACCCAAATGTGAAAAACTTGGCGCCTCGGTGGGATTCGAACCCACGACAGCAAGGGGAAGGCTTTAGTACAGCTAACATCAATGAAGATTATTACATCAAACACCACCCTCGGGCCACGAGCTCGTTGTCCCGTCGGGAATATTAACTTATTTTGGAAGCGCGTTTACCGGTCGGGACCCGGTGACACGCTCAGCTCGTTGGCCCGTCGACCTCAATGAATCATTTAAGCAAAATGCAATATCCTTGAAAAGTATCAGAAAGATGCATTGTTTCTAGATAGGCTACTGGTAAAGACCCGCGCAATTCTAATTTCACAGAATGCACTCTTCTATGAGAAAGTGTTCTTTGAGGAGGGGAAATGCATGATAGTTTTTCAAATATCGCCTCTGGCGACATTATATCAAAACTTTAGGCCGGAAGATTCCCCGCATTACGCTCGTCTATAAGAAACATAGGCAGCAAGCAAGCGCATAAGACGAAGACCAAAGCCATTTCCAGTCGATAAATGCAAGCACAGTCATATAGGCAATTTCTGTCTTAAATTTCGGTCGACAACATCCACACTAATCTCTTTAAATCCAATCTAAGAATTTACGCGCTCTCTCTCTCTCTCTCGATAAATTCGACCATAGTGCTATCAGCAAGTCTCCCCAAATTTCAATCGACAACATTCCGCAGAAAATTTTACTATTCCTGTCTCTCAGTTAGTGGTCTTTAAACGGGTCAAAAAGGCTACAGTGTATAATTTACTAGACGTTTTAATAAAACAATGTTTACCCTGTTGGCTTGCGTTTTCATAATTTCCCTGAATGTAAAGTGTGGGGACGAAGATATTTCCGAATAGCGTGCCAGTGCAAAGGGCCATGAAGATGCCGCTGAAATGTTAAAGAGTTTTCTTAGTACAGTTAATGAAGGTAATCGCATTGGCTTTCGCCGTGGTTTTTTCAACGTCTGCTAAGGAGATCAGTCATCATCCTCAAGCCTATCCAGTCAAACACATCCTAGTCAAAGCCAGCCATAAAATTGCCTTTTTTATAAACAGAGGCGTGGAACTCTGAGGTCAGCTTAAGCTACTGTTTTTTAAAAGAAAGCTGAAAGCAAGTACGTCAACAACGTTGACTCATAATCCCAGGCTACTTACATTTGTCTCGTCGAAAGCTGAAGACTTGATAGCCTACCCTAGGTAGTTAAATGACTCTGACTCTAAAACATGGACTGCGTCTAAGGGTATCTACTTATCGGACATGTAAAGATGGAAGGCTCCTGAGAAGTTGCCTTAGCAACAGAAAATGAGCTGCTGGATGCAATGACATGCCAACAGCCCTAGAAGAACTATTGACTTTACTGAGATTTTCGTCGCGGAAAACAGGGATGACAATGTTAGGAGCTACCTGGACATCTAAAAAGCGCGAGGTGTGTGTGTGTGGGGGGGGGGTGAAGGGGGGTCCAGCGGTGGGTCCATGTGATGGCCGTAGTGGTCACTCACTTGCTCGCAGGTGAGACTATGCCTAGAGTCTATTTGCTGGCACCCAACTCTCACCTGTGGCTCCACGTAGCTGGGCTCTGCTCATCGATCACACCCAGGGAAACCGTCTCGACCGGCGGGCTAAACCAGGTGAGGGCGGTCACTCCCGGTGCGCGTTTTGCCACGTGCACAGGGTACCGCGGACTCCGCTGGTCAGCCGGTTGGTGGAACTTCGCGTCGGCATCGTCGAGACGAGGCTCCGCCTGGTACGCCGTTGGTTAGCCGGTGGGATGGATCTTCGAATCGGCATCGCCGACACGTGCCCATCCAGTGCACCGTAGGAGACCGCGGGCTTACGACGATGTCGTAAGTCATTGGCAAACTCGAGTCGTTCTTCCACTGCCAACAAAATTCGTGGCCCACAGTGGAGTTCGGCAGCGCCGGCACATCAAGCAGCCCTATTCGGGGACGGGCATTGATTCTCTTCGGAGGGGGCCTGGAAAAGATGGCTTAAACACTGCTGGGGAACCACGTCGTCTGCAGGCTGACCGTGGTCGCAGACGTAAGACTCATGGCCGAAACAACCAAACTCAAAGCAACAACAACAACAACCATACTCTCTCTATCTCTCCCTAATCCTGCCTCTCCTTCCTCTTCCTCTGCACATTCTTCTCCTTCGTTACCTTCTTCTGCACCTCCGTCCCGTCGCCCCACTCGTTCTCACCAGACTGGCAGGGTGAGTCTGCTCACTCTAGCGGCCTGGAATGTTCGTTCCCATTTAGACAATCCGAGGAGCAACCGACCGGAACAGAGGACGGCGCTAGTCGCACGAGAACTGGCGCTCTACAAGGTGGACATCGCCGCACTCAGCAAGACCCAAATCTCCGAACAAGGCTAACTGGAGGAGGTGGGTGCCGGCCACACCTTCTTCTGGAGTGGTCGGCCCAGGGCAGAGCGACGAGACGCGGGTGTCGCCTTCGCCATCCGGAACGACATCGTGGGACGACTGCCCAGTCTGCCGCAGGGCATCAACGATCGCCTGATGAGCCTCCGTCTGCCTCTTCGGGGAGGCAAATTCGCCACCATCATCAGCGCATACGCTCCGCCGATGAGCAGCCCCGACGCCGCCGCAAGAGACAAATTCTACGAGGACTTGCACGCCCTCTTGGTGTCTGTGTCGAAGGCGGACAAGTTGATTGTCCTTGGGGACTTCAACGCCCGCGTCGGCACAGACCATGCTACCAGGAGAGGAGGGTTGGGTCCCCACGGTCTCCGCGGCTCAAACGACAATGGTCTGCTACTTCTCAGCACCTGCTCAGAACACCACCTCATCCTGACGAACACGTTCTTCTGTCTGCCGGAGCGAGAGAAGGCCACCTGGAGGCATCCTCGGTCGCGTCAGTGGCACCTGTTGGACTATGTCCTCGTCCGGCGGCGAGATCAGAGGGACGTGCTGGTGACAAAGGCGATCGCGGGTGCTGACAGGTGGACCGACCATGGCCTCGTCATCTCGAAGATGCGTATTCGCCTACAGCCTTGCAGGAGACCACAAGGTAAACGACCCCCAGATAAGCTGAATATTGCCTTGTTGTCTTTGCCCGCCCACCATTTCCATTTCAGCAATGAGCTAGCTCAACGGCAGGGCAACCTTCCAATCGCTGCCGCCGCCGACGCCGCCGCTGCCGAGAACGCTTCCGTGGAGAACCTATGGTGCCAAATGCGGGACACGGTCCAGTCGACGGCGCTAGCCGTCCTTGGTCGCGCACGCCGCCAACACCAAAACTGGTTCGACGACAACGACGCCGTCATCAGAAATCTGCTAGCTGAGAAGAACCGCCTACACAAAGCCTACGTAGATCACCCTACTGATGCCAACAAAGCTGCTTTCTACCGCAGTCGCCGCCAAATTCAGCAACGACTGCGCGAGATGCAGGACACCTGGACTGCTCGCAAAGCTGAGGAGATCCAAGGGTACGCGGACCGCAACGAAGGGAAGAACTTCTTCTCCGCGATAAAAGCTGTCTACGGTCCGCTAATGAAGGGCACTGCTCCTCTCCTCAGCGCCGACGGTAGTACCCTCTTGACTGAGAAGACGCAAATTCTACAGCGATGGACCGAGCACTTCCGAGGCGTCCTAAACCGCCCTTCCACCATCTCCGACGTCGCCATCGAGCGTTTGCCGCAAGTGGAGACCAACGTGGACCTCGACCCCCCGCCATCTCTCCAGGAGACCATCAGGGCCGTGCAGCAGCTCTTCAGCGGAAAAACACCCGGATCGGACGCGATCCCCGCTGAGGTCTACAAGCACAGAGGTCCCCAACTCATGGATCACCTGACTGCGCTCTTTCGGGAGATGTAGCGTCAAGGTGAAGTCCCGCAAGATTTCAAAGACGCGACCATCGTGCATCTATACAAACGAAAAGGAAATCGCCAAGTCTGCGACAATCACCGTGGCATCTCCTTGTTGAACATCGCCGGGAAGATCTTCGCTCGCATCCTCCTCAATCGTCCGAATAATCACCTCGAACAGGGCCTTCTACCGGACAGCCAATGCGGCTTCCGTCGTCATCGTGGGACCACGGATATGGTCTTCGCCACCCGTCAACTTCAGGAGAAGTGCCAGGAGATGCGGAACCACCTGTACTCCACCTTCGTGGACCTGACGAAAGCCTTCGACACGGTGAATCGTGTAGGACTGTGGAAGATCATGCAGAAATTCGGCTGTCCGGAGCGATTCACTCAGACGGTGCGTCAGCTGCACGACGGTATGATGGCGCAAGTCACGGACAACGGAGCTGTCTCAGAGGCATTCGCAGTGACCAACGGAGTGAAGCAGGGATGCGTGCTGGCGCCTAGCCTTTTCAGTCTTATGTTCCCTGCAATGATGATGGACGCCTACCGCGAGGAACGCCCCGGGATCCGCATCGCCTACGTAACGGACGGTCACCTCCTGAATCAACGGTGGATGCAGTTCCAATCGCGCAGATGACTGAGTCCTGAACACCACCTCGGAAGAGGAGATGCAACGGAGCATGGACCTCTTCTCTGCCGACTGCGAGAACTTCGGTCTGGTCATTAACACGCACAAGACGGTGGTCATGCATCAACCGCCACCCAACACAGCCACCCACCAGCCTCCCGACGCGCCGCAAATCAGTGTGAATGGGACCCAACTGCAAGTGGTGGAGAACTTCCCGCACCTGGGCAGTACCCTCTCCCTTAACACCAAAATTGATAACGAAGTCACCAACAGGATCTCGAATGCCAGTCAAGCCTTCGGCCGCCTCCAGAGCACAGGTTGGAATCGTCACGATCTCCAACTGAGCACGAAGCTGAAGATGTACAAGGCCGTCATCCTGCCGACGCTGCTGTACGAGCGGAGACTTGGACAGTGTACCCAAAGCAGGCACGCCGACTGAACCACTTCCAACTCAGTTGTCTTTGTCGCATCCTGAGGCTGAACTGGCAGGATCGAATCCCCGACACTGATGTGCTGGAACGGACGGGAATCCTCAGCATCTACACCATGGTGAGACAAATGCAGCTGCGTTGGAGCGGCCACCTGGTGCGCATGGACGACGAGCGACTACCCAAAAGACTGTTCTACGGAGACGTCGCGACGGGCTCTCGCTGTCAAGGAGGCCAAATTCGCCGTTACAAGGATACCCTGAAGTCCTCACTGAAGCGTCTGCAAATCAATCCGACCAACTGGGAAGAGCTCGCCCGCGATCGTCTGACCTGGAGGAGAACAGTGAAGACGGGCGCTGCTATCTACGAAGCCAACCGCATCGCCGCCGCCAAAGTGAAACGCGAAGCACCCAAATCACAACTGCGTCCAGTACGCAACGCCGACGCCCAATCGCTACCAACGTGTCCTCGATGTCAACAGACATTCCGGGCTCGACTTGGACTTGTTAGACATCTTCGGATCAGCTGTAATTCCCGGACAGCACCAACCGCCGTCGCTCCGCCCGCCTATTCGTCGTTCTCTCTGCCGCCGACTACCTCCGACAGTTTTTCTGAACCACCCCTTCCATCCTCCTCCTCCTCCTCCTCCCGCTCCACTCTCCCAACAACCGACACCACCCCAACTGCCTCCGACTCCAGCGATGGGGATCACTGCCCTCACTGCGACCGCACCTTCACCTTACGTAACGGCCTGGTCGGTCACTTGCGAATCCATCGCACAGAGACTGGCGAACCAGTGCCTGGAGCACCAACCTACACCCACCGCACTCGCCTCCACTGCCCACACTGCCCTCGCACCTTCACGCATCGCATGGGTCTATTTGGCCACATGCGAATCCACGAGAGCGGAATTGACCGCAATTCCGACACACCCACCACATCCAACACATACTCCATGCCCAGCCCCACTCTCGCTCCATCGCCTTGCGCGCCCACCAC